CCTTGTGCCAATGTCTTCCCATATTTTTGTCATGATAAGCTTCTTGTGCACTCAGTCAAGTTGCTGGTTTTGGCTAGTTATTGTAGAAAGCTGCTTGGTTACCTTATTTGTTTTTCTTTCGAGCAGTCGTAGGCCAATTAATCAGTTCAGAGCAAAAACATCTATAGAGTCATTTTCTACACCTGCTGAACTCATAAATGGTTGAAGCTCTTAAAGTTGTTTAGTTGCACAAAATGTTCTTGTTTTAAGAAAATCTTTCTATATTTCAAAACTAATGGTCTCTTATTTTTCCTGTTTCATTTTAATATAATAGATAACGGGTTTCACTGGATTAGGTAAATGTTACAATTTGCTAATTGCACCATCTCATAGTATAAACATTCTTAGGGTCTTTAAGGGCTATAGGAAGAACATTTCATTCCTAATCTGTTAGAACATTTAGCCAGAATCACTTTTTATTTTTATTTTTTTTAAGAAAGAACATTTAGCCGTTTGTTCACCTTGGATTGAGCCAGATGCACCTGGAAAATGTAATTCCTATTAATCTGCTGGCGCAACAATTTTTGTTCTTTGGCAACCACAAAAGTTATTATAGTTACTAGAAAACTTTTCCGGTTGACACTTGCTCTATTTCAGGTTCTTATTCTACAATTTTAATCACAATAGATAGTGAATGGGGTGGAGCTTCATCTGCTTCATCTTTTATGTTAGATCTCAGCTATCATCTCTCGAGAAGTATGACTTGAGCTAGGCTTCTTTTTAATTACTGCTAAAGAATGGTTAGGCTGGCACCCATGGGGCCTGTTTGTGTGATTTAAGTCGAGTTGTTATTATTGTTATCTGGCTCAGACAGCAGGACTAGTTTTGGAGAATTAGCATATTGATTGAAAAGTCAAGGAAGAAAAAATGGGGATTATGTTTTTACTTCTTCCTCATTTTAGATGGCTAGGAAGAGTGATAATGACCAAAGGGGGTGAAGGTATAAAGTCCTAGTAACTATTGCTTTGATATTAGGCTAGAAGAATAAACTGAAATATTCTTTTGCTATTTATAGAGATACCTGTGACAAGAATAGAAATTAACTATGAAGGAACCTGATTATGCAGGAAAATAGACTATATGAGAAATATTATCATTCTCTAAAAATTATGAAATAAACTGGTATCTTCCCTTTATTTTTCTTCCATAAAATGGAAGCTTGGAAATATGAATTTATTCATGCAGGAATTGTTAACATAAGATGGATGTAAAATATTTACTCCAACTGGGTTCTTTATTTACTTTGCTTCATTAAAAGTGAGGCTTTGCTTCTCTAAAAAAATAGTTAGTTCTCTAAGAAAAATGTGCTTTAATTTCCTAAAAACTTTCCGAAAAAAGGATGTTTTATCAAATTTCTATGCTCAGGTTTAAGGATTTAAGAGGAAACCGGTGTCAAGAAATGACAAGCTGCACAGTACCTTTGCTTTAACAAATCTATAATAGACTTGGAACTTCATAACATCGACGTCGATGACAGAAAAATTAGATATCAAGAGTAGAAATAGCATGATCTAAACCAAAAGACTGCAAGTGGTGTTGGTGTTATAATTTAATCTTGTACCACTGATGTAATGCAAAGAGCACGAGGATGTATCTCGTTCGGACTTTGATATTGTTGATTTACTTATTCTATGATTGTATTTTGTAAAGCATAGTTTCAATCAATTTCATTAAGTTTGCTAACCTGGTGATCATTGATTCTTGTGTCTTCAGGAATGTTTCCATGCATGTGTGGCTGGCTGTGGTTTTAAGGTCAGTTTGTCGTGCTGCTTAACCTTACGAGTTCATATTTCTTTATTTCATTGACAAATCAGCTTTTTGTCTATTGCAGTTTGATATCCAACCTAAGGAAGTTGATGAGGTTCATCCAGACAGACCATCACCTCCTCCAGTTCAGGAAAAAAAAACATCAACACATCCTACTGAACCCAATGAGAACCCTGGAGATGTACCTTCAACTTCTGCATAGGAAGTAACCGATTTTATGACAAATCATCCATTCTCATAATTTTCATGACTGAATTAGTTTGCAGGAGGAGGATTCTTTTATAGTGTTTTCACTATGCCTTGTTAACTAAGCATAACAGCTCAGGAAAAGTTTCCCTGCTTTATTCCTTCGACTAGGGTTCGCATCCTTGACCCTGGATCCGGAGCATCTGGTTTTCAAGATTTTCGATACCTTGATAATTAATAGCTGAGTTTTTTTAACAATTTGGAGGTGGAAAAGTTAGCGTACTATCCGGGAGCTTTAACAGAAAACCAGACCGATACTGGACTCCACATTAATTTAATTCTGACAGAAGACAATGTGAGGCACCAAGGATTTATCCTATTGCTCGTGATAGTTTTTCTTAAGGAGCAAAAACAGTCAGGTACATTCTGACAGATTGTAGAAGCAGCTGCATGTGAAATTCAAGCATTTTACTTTTTTCTCCTTTCTTAAGACATTCCTGTGATTTTATTAGCTTAGCTGCTTGGTTTGCTGTCAGCTTCAGCTTTTATTTTCCATATGAGACTCCATGAGAAAAATACTTTTTTCTTTAATAAAAACCAAAGAAGAATTATGATTTTTACATGGTACAAATATAAAGATGGTCAACTATGAATGAAGACTAAACAAATATTTTTTTGGATTATAATATTTGATTATTTGAAAATTATTATGTTTAACTAAAAATAATAAATAAAATCAAAAGATCTACAAACTTTAATTTTTAATCAAATTTATTATTAACAAAGTTGATAAAATAAAAATATTTTTTAAATATCAATTATAGTTAAAATTTTTAAAATTTTCTTTTAGAATCTAATTCTGTTAGGTTTTAGTTCAATCCAGTCTACCGATTTAATTTTCAGAACCGAATCGAAATTTGAAAAAGCTAATTGAATTTATTTATTTACAAATAGTTAGCGCTAATTTCTCACAAGCCTACCGGTTCGGACCGGTTTCAGGGGAGAGAAAGTTCTGGACCAAGCCAAACGGTTGACGCATCAAATAACAAGCCTTTTGAAATAAATAGTTAGCGCGCATCATAGTTCCTCCATCTGCCTCCCCTTCCGTTATCAGAGAGTTAAATAGAGAAATTGCGTTTACAGATTATAACAATGGAGCGGGTGCCACTATGTGGAAGACAATGCATTAAAAAGTGCGCAACGTTTCTCCTGGTTTGATGTAATCTCTCTTTGTTTCTTTTCTCATCAATTCTGTTCAGTTCTGATTACATCAAAAACAATGAAATTGATTGGCATCTGAATTGCATTTTGTACCCTACTTCATATATTTTTTATTGTCTTCTTTTTTTCTTCTTTGGTTATTTTCTTAATTAGTTATAGCCTTCAGTTATATCATTGTAAAAATAGGGGTGAAATCTTATAGGGAGACTCTTTTGCAGAAGGGGATGTAATGCTGACGGAGACACTTCGGAAGAATGTAAGCATTTCTCTTTTCCATCCGTTGTCTCATTATTCTTACAATAATCAGCCTGGAACTTTTAATGACTTTTTTGTTTTCATTTTTTACCAGTAGTAGACTTTACTTCTTTGAAAATTTAAAACGTAGAGCAATAACTAATTTGAAGAGTTCAGTTAACAAACTTAGATAGGAGTTGTACTTGTCAAATGGGTTAATTACTATTCTAGTCTCATAATTTTCAGGCATACAAGTGTTTTGTTAGAATTCAACCTTGGAACTAGTCATGTGGAACTTAGCAATGCTACAATTAGGTCTCTCATAAAAGGTTAAGAAAAACTTAATTGAAATATTTTTCCTAATTTGAGATCCTTATTTTAACCAAAAAAAGCAAAAGATTTAGTACTAATTTTTAATAGAAGTTATAGTTTTTTTAGGAGTAAAATTGTACTTAATCCTAAAAATAATACTTTAAAGCTAGTATTTTATTTGGCTATTACATTCTTTAATTGTTAATATTAGTGGATTTGCAAGCTTGGCTTAACACCCCAACCCTTTTCTTTTTTTTTTTTTTTAAATTATTATTATTATTATTTTATTTTAATTTTTGTAATTATTATATAATGTAATGATTTATTATGTAATAATATATGGTTTTAATTTAATTTAATAGAATTAATAATAATAATAATAGGTAAAATTATTTAGATATTTAATTGAAAATAATTTTGAAAAAAATTGGTAAAAATTTCGGTTCTAAGGGTATTTTTAAAAAGAAAATTGAAAACCGGAGATCAAAACGTAATTTAAAAAAATTGCACCACGTCAGCAGCCTCGGCCAATCAGGACACGCTGTGTGGCAGAGACGCTGACGCGGGAGGCAACGGGAAGGGAGCCACGTGGGTGATCCGCGTGCGCGCGATCGAACAACTGAGATCCGTTCTCGCGAGTACGGACGGCCCAGATTATATCGTGATGAACGGTCCAGATTCATTTCCTATTTAATCGCGATCTGACAGTGCAGATTGAATTGCGATGGACGGCTCAGATTAAAAGCGGATGGTTATAAATAATCTCATCCGCACCCAAACCCTAACTCTAGCCGCCAGAGCCCCTCGTCGGAGAAGACAGTCCAGCCGCCGGGGAGCCGACCGCCGCCACACCGAAGTAATCTCTGGCCGCCAAACGAAGTAAAAATTCTCCCCTTGGCTCAGAATTCGATGTTGAACCCACCTATGGTCAAATCGGACCAAAAACACAGGCCAATTGGCTGGAAAAAGCCGCCGAAGCCCAGCAGCGCCGCCGCGGGTTTTCTTAGTTTTTACCTTCGATGAGGCCCTTCATGATTCCCGTTCGATGTAATTTTTCCACCATTGTGATCAATGTTCCCTCATCTATAGGTTGATCGGAGCAAAACACCAAATCACGACTCGAGCCGGAGGAGCCACCACACCGGAGAGTCTCGCCGCCGATAAGTTTCAGTTTTCGGTATTTTTTCGGCCCACCGAGGGCCCTGGGGGTATTTTCTCACAGGAACCAATGCAAGTTTGGCTGGATATGGCCGAAAACGGCCGAAAACAGTCAACCCAATGAGGATTGCCGCCGCTCGGGGCAGCGCCGTCATCGGAGCACGGCGGAGCTGCCGTGCCAGAATTCTGAAATTGGTCGAATAGGCCTTGGGGTCTGATTTTTGAGTTATTTGGGACATGTGTAGGTACCGTAAGCGCGTTTCAGTTCCAAAAAAAAAATTCAGGGAATTTAGGGAATGCTCGTAGGCACAATGAAAATCTGGTTTTCGACTTCGAATTAGGTAATGACCCATCACTCTATTTCCTATCACGAGATTAAAGTCTAATAAATGATAAATCTGTATTTGTATAAATTAAATAGATATGCATAATCTATTACGATTGCTAATGGAGCCCGAACCAGACATTTTTCTTTATTAGTTCTTGTTTGATTTATTTTACAGTCTAAATGCAGTATGGTATCTGATTTATTTATTCTATAGTTTTGAATACATGAATCACTCCTTACATCATTTCAGCCTGATTTTGTGAATCTAATGATATGTTTGTCTTGTTGGATGTTCGTTAATTGCTTTAGCATTCATGTTTATGTGGAAAACGGAAAACTAAAAAAAAATATAGGAAAGGGATGTGAATTGATAAATGGATAAGTTGACAGCCTCACTAGATATCTTGGTAGATGGTGGACGGATCAGGTCCATAGGGAACCCTACCGGGAACGTTATCTCATATCGAACGGGATATGGAGACTTTAAATTGTTTGGTGCCCATACCAGACAGGGTATGGGGACGGCCCTAGAAATTAAATTTATTAAGGGAATGGTTCAGGTGTAGCGGAGACCCCTATGGATTCCCATGGATACTAGTAGGCTGATAAAAAAGGAAAACTGTTGTTTGATTATTGAAATATAAAAGTATGACATGTGCTATGTTACAGATTATATATGAACTCATGATATCTATGATGTTATTGTTTGCATGGGTTGTTTTTATAAATCCCACTGAGGTAAGTGGACGGTAAATGGTTTGATTATTGATAAATGAATTTATTCAAAATTTGTGCTCCATTGATTATTTTTTATTTTCTACCAACCTTTACTTATGTGATAGTGATATAGTATGATGTCTTTACTGAAGTAGTGTAGCTCATTCCTTACTTAACCATTTTAGATCAGGATGACCTGGTTCCCGAGCCCGATCCACAAGAAGACGGCGAGTAGATGCCTAGATGTTTATTAGTTTTCTTATAGTCTTTCATTTCTAGTATTTTCTTTAGATGACTTATTTTTGATATTGTTAGTACGTTTAAGTTATTGTATAAGGAATGTTAATCTGAACCTTTTATTTTGCTTCCGCACTCACATTCTTTATACATTTCTTTTTAAATTTCTGGAGTCGTTATATTGGCTGAGTCTAAGAAGATATGTTACGAGGACCCGGTATTAATGAGTCGTCA